CAGGGTTGTTGTGAAGATAAAATGAGATAATATTTGTGAAGTGCTTTGCAGACCTTAACTCACTGTATAAATGATAGCTATTATTAACTCTTGGGCATCTAGGAGGAGCAGTGGAAGAGCACTGGGCCTGGTGTCAGGAAGACCTGAGTTCAAATACTTACTAGCTATGTGACCCTGGACAAGTCACTTAACCCTGTTTGCCTCAGTTTCCTCATCTGTAAAACGAGCTAGAGAAGGAAATGGCAAACTACTCCAGTATCTTCGCCAAGGAAACTCCAAATGGGGTCATGAAGAGCTGCAGATGACTGAACAACAAAAATTATTAGCTATTATGGTGTCCCTAACAGATAAATATCTAGCTTCTGATTTAAATTGACTTCTAGCAATAAGGAACCATTATACTCTCACCCAGTTCCACACACTGGGAAAGTTTTTTTCTTTCATTGAAATCTGCCTCTCTACATCATCCATCCTCAAATCCTAATGTCTGAGAACAAGCAAAACAAATCTAGACCCTTCTCTGCCACGACTGGGGTGGTGAAGTGTCTGCTTCTATGCTATGTCAGGACAGGCTGAAGGGGCTGGGGGTGTTTAGCCAGAAGACTCAGAGGAGGATGTGATATAGCTGTCTTCAGGTAAGGGCCCTTACAAGGCAAGAGGGCCAAACTAGGAGCAGCGAAGCATATTTAGACTTGATGTCAGGGAAAACCAATTAGCGCTGTCCCCAAATGGCATGGGCTGCTGCTTCTGGAATTAGCTTTTTCATCCTTGGAAGTCTTCAAGCCAAAGCTGATGACTACTTGTTAGGCAGGTGATAGTGGAGATTTCTTTCAGATCTGGGCTGGACTTAGTAGACTCCTAATGTGGAGATGGACAGCATCTCTCACCACCATCATCCTCACTGATCTGGTTCTTGGGGTCCTACGTCAGACTCAGCCTCTCCTTTTGCTTTCTTGCCAGAGAAAATTTGGGGTATAGTACCCTCCCCTTTTCCTGAGCTAGTGGAAAGAAGTCTCCTCCCATGCTGGCATGGAGGAGGGGGTTGTACACAGGGTATTGGGGTTCCCTTTGCCTATGGGCAGTACTGTGCCTGTACCAGGATAAGTCACAGATGAGTAATCTGACCTGCTTTTATGCCCACAAGCCTTGGTTTGTGAAAAGATGAAGGGAGAGGAACAGAACTGGGCATGCAAGCCTTCATCCATACCCACTGGAAGTGGCCTTTTCAAGTGATTTCTACTACGTCTATTGTCTTACAACAATTCTTAAATTCTCTGATTCTGTTTGTACCTCCTCTATTCCATTTAACCCATTTATAATTATATTTAGTTACCTATATATCTTTGTCTTCCCTACTAGACCATAAACTCCAGAAGGGCAGAGACCATGCCTTAGTTATCTTTGCATCCACAGGGACCATCTTGCACGCAGTAGGTGCTTGTCATGATTTGCTAAATGAATGAATGGTGCATGTTACCTACAAGTCTGTGCTGGGAGGGGCAAACACTAGCTGCTCTCGTCCACTATCCTCCTTATCTTGCCTGTCTCGTAAGGGCTCAGGTGTCAGCCCCTCTATGAACCTTCTCTGATTCCTAGGGAGCTGAGAGAACTTAGTCACTCCAATAAATATTTATTGAGCTCCTAACACTATCCTGGGTGCTCTGGAAGACACAGAATAGAACAGCCCACAGTCTTTGACTTTGAAGAGCTAAGTCTGGGTGGCAAGGCACACACATGAAGAGGTAAATAATACAAGAAGTTAACTAATGACGGGAAACAGCAACCATCACAAGGCAGCATGTTCCTTAAGTGTCAAATGACAGCAAATGCTATGAGTTCAGAGGAGAAAGAAAGAGCTAAAGTCTCCCCACAGTGGAGGGGTCAGGGCTAGTTTCAGGTAGAAGGTGTGGTTGGATGGCTATTAGATCTGTTCTTATTATCCTCAGGCTCCATCCACATCTGGGCAAGCTACCCTCTGGACCAAGCCTCCTACTGCTACCTGAAACACCACACCCCTGTCTCCTCAGTTGTGTGTCAGAAAGCCCTCAGTGGGTCCTAAATTTTAAGGAGCTTTAGAGTGAAAGGTTCATCTAGTTCGAGCTTACCCTTCCCCCTCCCCCCCCTCCCCGACCCATTCCTGATTTTATAGATGAGGAAACTGAGGGAAAGAGAAGTAAAAAGACTGGCTCATGGTCACCCAATAACAAAACTTTTGGAGGGGACAGTTTTTGTGGGGTTTCTTAGGTTGTGCAGTGACTATCCACTGTCAGAAAACAACCCAGATGCTGTAATGAGGACCATTCTCCATCTTTTTCCAACTCTCTCTCCCTCTGCTGGGAGTCTTAAGAGCTTTATGGGCACAACTGGAGTTGTCCAGAAGCCCAGATACTGGCAGGGAACTGCCTGGGAAAAGGAAGCAGATGGAAAGAGGGGCAAAAATGAATAAAAAAATCAATGAATTGTTTTTGATTTTTTCAAATGAAGCAAGTTGCAGAGGCTGGGAGTAGGTGACAGATATGGGGCTATGCAGCTTATGAAGTAGGTCTTCCTAACAAAGGGGAGGTGGCAAAGCCAACACTCAGGATATTTGAGGACGCATCATTTCCAAGGCTGGCATATGGTTCAAACGGTAGTTTGCAGAAGAGAGAGGATGAAAGAAAACTCTGGAGCAGAGATGGAGATAGAGATAAAGGAGGTAAAGCTTCAGGGAGAGAGAAAAAAAGAGATATGAACCAGTGAGGTAGCAGGGAGAAGGCGAGAGAGAGGGAAGAGGCAAAGGGACAGAGAAACACAAAGGGATAGAATGGAGATGGGAGAAAGAAAAGAGATTAGGAGACTGAGAAATGGAAGATAACTGTTTTCAACCTGAATGAACTTTACCTAAGCCGTAGTCGGCGTTTCCTTATTCATTTAGGGTCCTCTTCAGTCCATGGGAGTAGAAATGGTGCTGAGAGGGAGGTTTTCAGGGGCCCAAGGCCCAGGAGTTCTCAACACTTAAGGTGCAGGGATCCCAAGTCCCATTTCTGTCCCCAGGAGAATTGCAGATTCAAAGAACTAGATACCTACCTCACTTGGTACCCTAACCTAGGCTAAAGTCTCCTCCTCCAAGCCAGGAAACAGAGAAGTCCTTTTCCCTTCAGCAGTTAGCAATTTTCTTCCAGGGGCTGACAAGCCTAGGGCTTGCAAATATCCAGAACCTGATGGTAGGTGGTCTGATGCCATCACCTCATTCCTGGATTCTGCCAGTTAAGGCTTGCATGCCCAGTTCTGTTCCTCTCCCTCCATCTTTTCACTGATCAGGCCTCCTGGGCATGAAAGCAGGTCAGATTACTCATCTGTGACTTTTCCTGGTACAGGCACAGTGTTGCCCATAGGGAAAGGAAACCCCAATGCCCTGTGTATAACCCCCCCCATCTCAATGTGGGTATTAACTTCCAGAGTGACCTGTGGGAGGAGACATTTGCCCATTAGTTCAGGAAAAGGAGAGGCAAGAAGGTAAAAGGCGAGACTGAGCCTGGCACAGGACCCCAGAAACCTGGGGAGACCTTAGTGTATGCAGATTAGTGAGGATGATGGTGGTGAGAGACTCTACCCATCTCCACTTTGGGAAAAAGTGGTTGCTTCCAGCTAGACTGGCCTCTTGGGCTTCTCAGGTGGGGAGGTATGCCCAATAGTGTAAGGGAAACATTCATCTCAGGGAAATCAGAGCTGTGCTCAGGGCCCCTTCCCCCCCTCCTCACTCCTTCCCGACCCTGCCAGCCACCCAATTAGAAGCTGCGTTGGCTCCAACAGATGGGAGCTGCTGCGGCAGGCAGCCTGAGGAGCAGAGCATAAAGCCCAGCTGACAGTGTCCTTGCTTATTTTGGTCCAGGGAGGATGGGTGGAAGCAGAGGCAGAAGGAAGAATTGGGGTCATAATACACTCAGGCCCTGTCCCTTGGACTTTCTAACCTCCTGGTACCTAGCTTGCTCTCAGTCCAACCCGAACCAGGACTCTGGCTCCTCCCAACAGAGCCAGCTCTTCTCCCTCCAAGTGAGAAGTCAGAAGACGCCCTCTCTCATAGGGCAGATGGACCACCTGTAGCTGGCCTGCTTCCCATCTCCCTAGTGTCTAGTGCAAGAATACCCAGGTCCGGATTGTGATGCTTTGCTGCTTGGCATCTGGCCTCTCTGCTCTCCTCCAAAGGAAGGGCCCCTTGGCTGAGAAGGGCCTCTCCCAGCCCATGCACACTACCCCACTCCCTTTCTCCCCTGCCCCATCTCCCACCTCTGGCTGCCCCCAATGCCTGAAGGAGGAGCCTCTCTTCAGGCAGCACACAGCAGACAGGCAGACACCAATACACAGGCCATTTTGTTCCTTTCCATGGGCACTTGCAAACCAGGAGAGTTGAAAGGCCAAAAGACGCCTCCCAGTGTAATCCATTTCTGTGCTGTTCCAAGCTCCCTCATCATCCCCCTAGGTTCCCCTTAATATCTTCAAATGTCCAGATATCCCTTTCCAACCAAGCAACAGTTTGTGGAGGTTTCAGACGCCAGAGGGTTAATTAATCCAAGAGAACAAGAGATCTCCCCACACACAAGCGCAATCTCCTCGCCAAGCTCCCAGTCAATGTCTGTGCAGCTAGGAGCCTGCTTTTTATTCCTCTCCTGCCACCAGCCTCTCTCTTTTCCCCTCTCCCCCTCCCCCTCCTCCCGAGTCATCCTTCCTTCCTCCAAGAATCACCCCCAGCTGCCCATCACCACCCCAGTCCGCAGGGGCCCAGATCCCAGAGGGTGAGGGGCATGGGCACTCCCAGCTCCCCTTCCCCCAGAGATCTCGGCCGTCTCTCAGCCCCCAAATCCAAGTCCTGCCGATCCTGCCCTAAAGCTCCCTGGCTGCGCTTTCCCGCAGCTAGCCCCAGCTGGAGCTGCATGATGCCAAGCCCCCGGCCGCCCCCCGCCCTCGCCCTCTCCAGCGGTGGCAGCGGCAGCAGCGCAGCGCCCCAGCCCGGGCGGACTCACCCTGGGAACGCCGCCGCGCTGGCTCGGGGCAGCGCCGTCATCCGCCCATCTGCCGCCCGCCACGGGCACGCAAGCACATCGGCTGCAGCCCGCAGCTCCAGGCTGGGGATCGGGCTCCGCTCAGTGCCCCCGCCCCCACCCACTTTGCATCCAGCCACGAGGACGCGGGGTTGTGGTCCCGGCCCCAGCTCGGGGACGGAGTTTTGCTCGGGAGCTGGGTCTGGGGGTGGGGGAAGGTGGTGAGAGCAATGGCAGAATAACAGCCCCTGCTCGTCCTGGCCACCCGCTCTCCTCGCCCTCCTCGGGGCTTCCCGCTCCTCCCGGATCCCTCCAACCCGAGGGCTCCGCTCCTCCTTCGCACTCCTCGTCGGGAGGCAGGCGGGACAGCGACTGTGGCTCGCTCGCTCTGCTCGCGGCTCATTTGTAATTGCACGCAGCAGGCCCTCTGCGCTCCCCGCGCGCCCCCCGCCCCCTACTTCCCCACCTCGTTCTCAACCTCCCCAGCCCTGTTGTCTCCCCTCCTCCCAGACTGCGTGTTTCACCACCCACCACCCGAACCGCCTCTGTCATTTTAACTCCTCAGGTGCCAGAGCCCCCCACACACACACACACACACACACACACACACACACACACACACGACGGGTGGAGATGAGCCTTGGAGCTGCCAGTCAATATTTCAACAATCAGTTATTAGTGCCTACCCTGTGCTGGGAGCTGGAGATGCAAAGACAAAACAAGGAAGAAGAGGTTCTTCCCTATGGGGTTTTGCACTGCTGTTCAGATGCTTTGAGGGGAGAGGCAGCCCCACAGACCTCTGGTGTAGTAATCAAACATTATTTAGAAGATCCTTGGAAATTCTCAAAGCACTTTCCCCCATAATCCTCTGAGGAAGGTAGTGGCAAGTAAGATGATGCCCATTTTACAGACTAGGAAACTAGGCTCCGAGAGAGAGAAATGAGTTTCCCAAATACCCATAGTATTGAAGCCAGGATCTGAATTTAGATTTCCAGACTCCAACTTCAGAGTCCTTTTAGCTACTTTTGATGTTGATGAAAGACACCTTCCCCCAGTGAAGGAGCCTGTCTGGGTGATGGGCCTAGAACCATAAATGGAATGGACCTTTAAAGTCATTCAGTTCAACCTCAACATTTCACAAATGAGGTCACTGAGGCCATGAGAAGTTAAGTAACCTATCCAAGGTCACACAGGTAATAAGTAGACAGAATCCAAATCCTTTTGCTTACTAACCTTAAGGCAAGTCTCCTTCCTTGGGCAAATCATTTATTGTTCAGTCATTTCAGTTGTGTCCTACTCTTCTTGAGCTCATTTGGGGTTTTCTTGGCAGAGATACTGGAGTGGTTTGCCATTTCCTTCTCCAGCTCATTTTACCAATGAGGAAACTGAGGCCAACAGGGGTGACTTGCCCAGGGTCACATGGCTAGTGAGTGTCTGAGGCTACATTTGAACTCAGGAAAATAAGTCTTTCTGACTCCAGTCCTGGCATTCTACCCTCTGTGCCACCTAGCTGCCCTAAGACCTGAGTTCAAATCTGGCCTCGGACTCGAACTAGCTATGCGACCCTGGGCAAGCTGATTAACCTCTGTTGGCCTTAATCCACTGCAAAAGAAATGGCAAAGTACTCCAATATCTTTGCCAAGAAAATCCCATATGGCTTCAGGAAGAGTCTTATTGGATTGAATAATAACAATTGTTTGGATAGTTACATTGAAGTCTTTCCTTACCTGAAGCCCAAATCTGTTTTTCTGCAACATCCACCCACTGTTTCTAGATGGATCTTCCTGACTCCAGGCTCAGTGATCTATTTACTGCACCACCTAGCTGCCCCAGCAAATCACTTAACCTCTCTTCAATTCCCTCCTTTGAAAAAATGTGGGGGTTGGATTCGATGACCTCTCAAGTCCCTTCCAGATGCTTCTCTGCCATTCATCTGGACAGCTTGTTGTTGCACTTGGGAAGTAACCTTTCATCCATACCAGGTATTAAGCAGCAGAGCCAGGATGTGTCCTCGACCCTAAAGCTAGCGTTCTTTCCTTTACACTGTACTGCCCTATCTTCATATTTACTACCAAATTCGTCTGATCTTGGAACTGAAAAGTAACTCACAGACTATTTCATCCAATTTCCAACCTCTTCGCACCTGAGCCACAGGTAGAAATGGGCAAAGTGAAGGAGCCATTTCAGAGGAAATGAACATCCCCCTCTATGTTGCTGTCGTCAGTCGTTCTCAGTCAGGTCCAGCTCTTTGTGAGCTCATTTGGGCTTTTCTTGGTAGAGATGCTGGAGTGGCTTGCCACTTCCCTCTCCTGCTCATTTTACAGATGAGGAAACTGAGGTAAACAAGGGTAAGTGACTTGCCCAGAGTTACATAACTGGTAGGCGTCTGAGGCCAGATTTGAACTCAGGAAGGTGAGTCTTTCTAACTTTGCTCTGTCCGCTTTGCCACCTAGTTGCTCCAGTCCCTTTCTGTGATCTGTCACAAATCCCAGGACAGACACCTTCTGCACTAGCATCACTAATGTCAGGAAAGGGCTGAGTGAGTCAATGGAAGCCCTGGAACCCAAGGGAGAAAGCCCAGGGCCCTGTGTTATTATTGTTATTTGCACTCACATGTCATAACAACACCTTTGTTCTGCCTCCACTGCACCCTACTCCCGCAGACCCACCCTCTTGGTCCTATGGTCCTTCACACCTCAGACAGAATAATCTTCTTTATGTATAGATGTAGCCATCCCATTCCTCTATTCAAAAATTATCGGTGCTTTCTTTTCTATTGCCCACTTCGTAGGCATTCCCTGTCTCTGGCATTCTAGGCCCTCCTTGGTCTGGAAACATATCACCTTTCCAGTCTCATTTTGTATTACTTTCCTGTGCACATACCATGCTCCTGCCCAGCGAAACTTTGCTCGGTCCTCAGTCCTCTTAACAGGCCTTGCTCTTTTTCCCTGCCTTTGTTCGGACTTTTCTTAGCAAGGGCCAGGAGGTACTTTTGGTACGCCTTCCCTATTCTTCTCCAACTGCTTAATCCCTTTCAATTCTTTAACACACAACTCAAATGTTTTTCCTTCATGAAGCTCTTTGTGTCTAGCTGATTACTTCTCGTGGCACTGTGCTTAATGTCTCGGGTACACATATGTGCTGTTTCTTGTTATAATAAACTACTATTATAGTTTACTACTGGGTCATTAGGGCGGCTAGGTGGCACAGTAGATATAGTGCTGGGCCTGGAGTCAGGAAGACCTGAGTTCAGATCCAGCCTTAGATACTTACTATATGACCCTGGGCAAGTCACTTAATTCTGTTTGCCTCAGTTTCCTCATCTGTAAAACAAGCTGGAGAAGGAAATGACAAACTACTCCAGTATCTTTGCCAAGAAAACCACAAATGGGTCGGGAAGAATTGCACACAACCAAAATGACTAAACAACAACAAATAGGTCGTTCTCCTTACCAGACTGTAAGCTCCATGTCTTATCTAACCTTTGTCTCACCCCCACCCCCTCACCCCTAAACCTACCAAGAACTTAATAAATGCTTGTCAGATTTATTGATTTTATAGTAATCCAGATGAGCATATGGGAGGTAATGAGGATGATGGGCATAGAAATGGGGAGGAAGAGATGGATTAATGAACTTATCCATTGCCTGGTATCACAGTTGTTTACATATGTGTCATTTCTTCAACTAGCTTATAAACCCCTGTAGGGTGATAAGTATTTCTTTTGTATTACCTCAAGTACCAAACATTGTGCTAGGAATGTAGTAGGTCTGAGTAAATGTTTGATGAGTGAGTGAATAAATGAATGAATGAATGAATGCAATAAAAGTGTGAAACATTTTCCAAGTTCCTTGCTCCTCCCTCAGATCTTGTAGGAAGACACTCAGCAATGGTGAAGGACCAGTAGAAAAAGGAGACTATTCTAAAGGCCTATTCTCAAATAGCCTGGAATTCTGGAAAGCCATTTAGAGTCACATCTCTCCCCTGGGGGAAAAAAGCAGACTCTATTGACCATGCTCTTCTAAGCTCTCAGGTAATTAAGTCTAGGATTTGATGACCTTGCTATTGACTTGTCTGCCCCAAAGTTTAACATCCAGGCTCAGCAGAATGGAGACTATCTCTACGGGCCAACTGTCCAACTAGGACAGCAAGGAAGCTCCAGTCTTTATACTCCTCATCCAAGTCTCAGGAGAGAGATACTGAGGTTGTCTATACCAGCTATGGAGGTGATCCTTGGTTCAATCCCCAGATTAACCCTAGACTTATAGATCAGATCTTGGGATCACAGGACCATAGATTTAGAGCTCAAAGTGACCTGAGACAGGAGTCGAACCCAAGTCTTCCTCCCTCCAGGCACAGCAAACTGTGTAACCTCTTGACAAGTCACTTCAGCATCTCTGATCTTCAGATTTGTCTTCTATAAAATGTGACTGATAATACTTGCACTACCTCACTCAGTAGTTGGAGTCAGGAAGGTGTTTTCTAATTCTCAAATTGCTACATAAATGTGAGTTATTATTATTGTGCCCCGAAGCAAGTCAGGAGGCATAATTTGTGCCTTGTGCTATTAGTTCCATAAGTAATAATATGGGTGTGACCTGAAGAATGTTCATCTGGAGACAGGAAGCCCCGAGTTCAGTTCTGGCCTCAGACACTTACTAGTTGTGTGACCCTTGGCAAGTCAATTCATCTCCATCTGCCTCAGTTTCCTCATCTATAAAATGGGGATAATAATAATTGTAGCACTTCACAGGGTTATTGTGAGGATAAAAATGAGACAATATTTATAAAGCGCTTTGCAAACCTTAAAACACATTATTATTATTATCATTATCATACGCATATCACCAGCAATAGAATTTGCCTGTATAATATGTGTCCCATTCGTTTACTTAGGTGATACATAAGTTCTGAGGGGAATGTTACAGTGAATGGAATCAAGCAAGCAACAAGAATTTATTAAAGCTTACAACATACCTGGTACTGTACTAAGCACTAGGGATACAAAGACAGACAAAAACAATTCCTGCCTTCAGGAAGCTTGCATTCTGCTCTGATGAGGGGGACACCAGGCACGTAAACAGGCATGCACAAGCTACCTACAGAGCGAATGGAATGATGGCAATCAGATGGGGCCAATCAGAAAAAAGCTTTCTGGAATGACAGCAAGGTGGTCGTTCTCCCATTTATTGTAAGCTCAGTAAAGTCAGGGACCTCATCTTATCTCACCCCCTGCACCTGCCTCGCACTTAATAAATGATTGTCCAGTTTGTTGATTTTATAGTAATTCAGAGAGGAGGTAAGGAGGCTGGTAGTCATAGAAATAGGAAGGAAGGGATTTAATATGAACTTTGAAAGAGGGGAGAGAAGAGTATGGGCTTGTGCCCTCCCTGCTCAATACGTCATAGTCTCCTGTAGGGACCCCA